GCTATTCGATGATGTATAATTGAAGCTGAATTTCTTGAATTTATATGGAGAAAACTAATCTGAAAGACTGTGATGTAATTACTATGTAATCGTAAGAAGTTCATTTAAACTCATAAGGAGGGAAGTCCTCAAATGTATTGGAAAGTACTCGCCAGTTGAAGCTCTTTCACCCTATATATGATTGTGCTGGATATAGTATGAAAAGTTCAATGGGCCAAATTACGATCTTATGCGCCCCTGTCCTTTACTCAATCAGGCCTTTTTAATGTTCTGTCTTCGATCAATTCAAACCATTGATATACAACGTTATGATCGTACCGGAAGACATTTTATGACAAAAAAAGTAAACTACTCTAAAACCAAATAGGTTTCAAAATGGTTCTTTTTATCGACAGTGATTTTTTCCAGGCCTTTATCTAGAAATCTTGCAAAGGTTTTGGGTGTGGGTGTAGATGATAAGAAGATACACACCCAGACCCAGACCCACACCCATCACAGCTCTTTTCCGGCTAAAATGTGAAACTCACATACTTCGTGTAATCTAGAATCAAATTTAGTATAACCAGTTGCTAGAGGAAATATATCCACTAACCTTTGTAAACTCTCTTCCTCATCTGCTAGAGGAAATGTATGGATTTACTTATGAAACCCCTCGCTACTATGGAAACGTATCTATTAACCTGTCAAATACTCCTTTCAGTCGATTTCTAAGCAAGGACTGGTACTCAATGCCCTTTTACCCGTGTTGCTAGGAGGAAACATACCCATTGACCCGTGCCCTGTTGCCTAAGGAGCTATAGAAAAGACTTTTCGTGCCTGTTAACGGTTACCATTGAAATCTATCAATTGCCCTATGAAAACTCCTCCTCCCCATTGCAAGGTGAAACGTTCTTTTTACCTTACAGATCTTCCCTTCTAGGGGGGGGGGGGGGGGGAAGGTGAGGAGAGGAGTCGCAGAATTCCACAAGAAAACTGAATAGAATGGTAAACAACCAAGATTTTTCCACTTTCTACTGATGCTAAAACACGCGAAATTCTTACTTATTTGTAACTTTGATTAATTTTTTTTGTAAAAAATAACTGTCTGTATATTTGTTGACTAACCAACAAAATTATCAACAAATATTTTTATTTTTCAAAGTAATAATCTTCATTCTGTACATACGTCTTTTTCAAACCTTCGCTCATCCACGTCTTTCGAACTATGCTTTGATTGTTACATTTTTTTTTGCACAAAAAATAGTAATTAGAACTACTTGCCATTTAAATAATTATGCGTTATTACTGTTCGTAGAAATAACATTCCGATCAGATAGTAACTAACTTCTACTTATGTCAACAGATTATCAAACTATTTTTGTAACACTTACCAAGGATTTCGTTCAAGTGAACAAATTTTTGAATTCGACTATTGCCAGAATCAGAGACAAATATATTTCCAAAACTATCGAAAGCCATACTCTGCGGATTTAATAATTGATTAGATGCTGAACCACCTCCATAACATCCAACTAAACATCGAAAACCATTTGGTCCTGATCTAACAATACGATGATTGCCTTGATCCACAATAAAAAGATAATTATCAGCATCTAATACAATTCCACTTGGACAATTGAGTGTAATAGTATTTATTGCACCATTTCCTGCTACAGTTATCCCGTTCAATTGCCCTGATTGAAAGAGTTGAATTCGGTTGTTGTTACAATCTGCTACATATAAATCAAGGTTGATGTTGACAAATATTCCACGAGGTGAATTAAGCGTATCAGAAGTAGATCCAGAGCAACCTGTTCCGGCAGCAATTGTTAACGTGTTTGAAATACTGTTCAGTGGTTTTGTAACAACTCGGTGAAGATTAGCGATTGAACAATATAAAATATCATTAATACCGACAAAGAGCCCATAACATGATTGACCAACATACATTATTGGAACAGCGATAGTTCCATCTAATGCCAATTTGTCTACTCGACCATTCCAATTACCATTGTCAACATAAATATCACCAGAAGTGGTAACGTAAAGAGCATATGGACTTGATACACCGACAGAAATTGTTCTTAGGGAATTTATATTTTCGTTAAGCCACACCTGAATTTGACTGTTCGCTTTATTAGCGACATAGATCGTGTTTTCAGAGTTGATAAAAATACCGTAAGGTGTTGAGCCAACTGTAGTGCTTGTGGCAAAAGTTATTGCATTAGCACTCCAAGAAGCAAATGCACTGAATTTTGGTTGATTGTATGAACGAACTAAAAAAGAAGAATTGATATTCTTAATGTTGGAAATAGAGAAGAAATATATTCCTATTGTTATAATAACACATGAACTTTTAAAATTAGCATAACTCATGATATATGTTTATGTCTACACGTTAGCATAACTATTGATATAAAAATTTAAAATGTATTTAATTTAAGGATTTCTAATTGTTATTATTATAGTAGAGACCAAAATGAGCAGGGTTTGAGGATGGGGACTGCTTTTATTGGGACGAGATCTGGTTTAAGTCTCTGAAGTAAGGCGTTGAATATTGCATAGTTAAATCTTTTTAGGACGATGTACTTTTGAAAAAGCTATTTAAAATGTTTTTAGTGATATTTAATATATGTTAATTCAAAAATCGATTAAGTTTCATCTGACATATTTTCTGAAGAGTTCACATTTGTACTTCAATAAAAATAATTCTACTAATGATCTTTAATTCATTTTATAGTTTTGAAAAGAAAACTACAAATTGACTGACAAAACTCGTTAAATAGTATTTGATATATTCATCTAAAAAATTACTTTTAAGTGTTTCTCAAGAAAAATTAAATTTCGTGAAATTCAAAAATATTTTTCGAAGAAGAAATAACGAAAAGTACTTTTTGGAGCAGATGCTGTTGTATCATTTGTTTCATAAGTGACTGTTGACTGTACATCAGATCGAGTAATATACGATGAGCTTTTCACTGAAAATAAAGATAGTTTATTGACGAGACAAATGAGTAATGAGAGTAGAAATTCTATTACCACTGTTCATAGTTGATGTCACTGTATGCTGTGATATCGTTGGTGCATCTATAACAAATAATTTTTTTAATGAAATTAATTTTGTTCATCTCATGTTTTTGCATAGGTAAACTCATTAGAAATATTCCGAAAACAATCATATCTATTGTCTAATCTTCTTTCAAAATGCATAGTCATATTGGGATATTTAACATACAGATATTTAAGTATTTCCAGGAAATAAAATCAAGAAGAAACAACACTTTGGGTTGCAATTATGAAATTTGATAATGATTGTTTTACAACGAAAACTACATGATAGGTTCATGTAAATTATAAAATAGATATCTATAAACGTGTTTGAAATCTTTTCAGATAATAAAATTATGATAGACTAATAGAACTCTTTGGATTAAAAAATGAAATTCACTAGACTACTACATATTTTTATACGTACTACATGCATTTGTTTTTAAAACAAACTTTTGAATTCGACTATTGCCAGAATCAGAGACAAATATATTTCCAAAACTATCGAAAGCCATACTCTGCGGATTTAATAATTGGTTAGATGCTGAACCACCTCCATAACATCCAACTAAACATTGAAAACCATTGAGTCCTAATCGAATAATACGATGATTGTTACTATCGACAATAAAAAGATAATTATCAGCATCTAATACAATTCCACTTGGACAATTGAATGTAATAGTATTTATTGCACCGTTTCCTGCTACAGTTATCCCATTCAATTGACCTGCTTGAAAGAGTTGAATTCGGTTGTTGTTACAGTCTGCTACATATAAATCAAAATTAATATCGACAAAAATTCCACGAGGTGAATTAAGCATATACGAAGTGGATCCCGCTACACTTGTACCACCAACAATTATCAATGCATTTGAATCGCTATTCAGTGATTTCGTAATAACCTGATGAAGGTTATTCATTGAACAGTATAAAGTATCATTGATATCAATAAAAATATCCCAACATTGTTGACATGGATGCATGACTGGAACACCGATTGTTGTATGTAATGTCCATTTAGTTACCCGACCATTGTTGTTATCACTATCGACATAAATATCATATGATGGTGCAACAAAGAGACCGTATGGATTAGACAAATTAGCCGAAATATCTGTTGCCGATGTAATATTCCCTTCATACCACACAATAATTCGACCAGTTTGTCTATTAGGTACATAGATCGTGTTGTTCGTATTGATAAAAATCTCGTAAGGTTGTGAACCAACTGTGTCAATATTTGCGATAGTTATAGCAGTTAGATCCCATGACACATGTGGACAGAATTTCGGTTGATTATATGAAACAGCTAAAAAATAAGATAATAATTTGATAAGATAAAAAGTATGACTAACAGATTTTTAAATCATAATCAACAATCAAATATTTGAAACCTTTATTATTCACTTGCATTCGATAAACGAAAAATCAAAAAACATATCTATTAGATTTCTTTTATTACATATTGAAACATGGAATGACATAATTCATTTAATCTTTGGCTGATGTTTACATGTGAAAAGAAAATATAGAACACAAAATTAATAGAAGATATGAATTATCTACTACCTGATATTTGGATAGTAATAATAAGAACAATAATCATCCAAATATTACAAAAAATATTTGTTAACATTTTGAACATTTCAAATGTTTGTAATTAATAAGCATGAATAACGTTTTTGAGACGATTCTTTTGTATCTGAATAAATAATGTGAGATTAGTCGTTAATTTTCTCGGCATTTATATCTCTCGTTTCTCTCAAATACAACAGACATGACATGAAATAAAAACATTCTCAAATCATGAACAAAATTAGTAAATAAAAGAATATTTTACCTAGATAATAAATTCATTTTTTCGCAATATATACTCCAAATAGATTTGATTTTCTAATCTGACAAGAAAAATATTAATTTATTATAAATTATTTAACAACTCAAAATTTTTCTTTTTATGGTAAAAGAAATTATTATTTTGAAAATAGTGATTAAATAAGAAAGTGACAAATAGAAAAAAGAGAGAAACCTGATTTTTAGACATGAACATGATTTTGAAAAAACGAAGCTTGTTAGCGCAGCCCCTTTGGACTGAAATGTGGAAATCACATATCTTCTTTAGTTTCATTAAACTAATGACAAAATACACAATGTTTAAATTCTCTAAAAGACAAGACTTCTTTTCTAATGATAATTGATTGTCAGCAAATGCTGTCGTTTTTATTTCTATACTTCGAACAGAAGTTTTCTTTTTTTGGCTGGAGTTGCTATGGTTTGTAATGAGGGGTGTCTGTACTAGGAGGGAGAGGGCTGAAGGGGGAGCCCGAAAACCTTAATCTTAAAACTAACACCCACTATTTTCGAAAATATACGGGAGTTCCACAAATTGATATATCATTAATAGAGTATCTATTTCAATTAAATACATTTGACTATATTTATTTATAATTATTGGCTTGAAAATAATCATAAATAGGAACGTGACATATATGAACAAGTGATAAATATGATTTTTAGCAATGAAACGTGATTTTAGAAAAAAAAAGAGATATCATTAATTGAGTATCTGTTTCAATTGTCAACACATCATTGGTATCAATGAAAATTATCTGCTACTTTAATGCGACCAATGTAACTTGGGTGTGGGGTGTAGGTGGGTGTGGGGGGTGTGAGTGTGGGTGGGTGAGGGTGTGGGTGTGGAGTGTAGGTGGGCGTGTGGGTGTGGGGTGTGAGGATGTGGGTGTGGGTGTGAGTGTGGGTGAGGTGTGGGTGTCGGTGTGAACCTTGTCTGGGTGTGGGTATGGGGCATGGGTGCCGGTGTGAACCTTGTCTGAGTGTGGGTGTGGGTGCAGCGACGTATCCAAGAATTTTTTTAGGGGGGATCGCCATAGAAAAAAGGTAATTTTTAAGTTGGGAAAAATAATAAACCCGTACCCCCCTTCAGGTATTTAAACATGTTAGGGGGGGGATCGGTCCCCCTATTTCCCCCCTAAATACGTCGCTGTATGGGTGTGTGGGTGGGTGTGGGTGGGGTGGAAGTGGCTGGGTGTGGTTGGGGTGGGAGTGGCTGGGTGTGAGTGGGTGTGGGTGTGGGTGTGGATATCTGGGCTCCGATTTATCCTATATTTCCTATAATACCTATATTTTTGAAAAATCCTTTATTTTGTCCTATATTTCGATTAAAATTCCTATTTTACCTATATTTTATTGAAGAAAGACAAAGATATGTTCGAAATCTGCGAATTCTATTGCACAGAGTATTCTTTTTTTTCGACAGGACAAATATTTTAAAATCTAATCAAATTTTTTCGACGACCGTACGTATTAACAGAATATCTTTCCTAAATAGACCGCATTTCTTTTCGTCCAGTGAGCGGATTAAATGAAAAACTCTTTAATGCCATGAATACTTATTAGGTATAAAAAGTTAAATCAACATTTACAAATAATTATGAACCATTTGAAACGTTTTATGGTTGTCTATATACATATAGATGTATATTCATGTGATTAGAATAAATACATATAGATATATACCGCATGGATAAATTTCTATATTTGAAAATTGTTTCTTTATTTGTACTTGAAACTAAACTATTGTAGATAAAATGAAAAAAAAATTAATAGGTCATCTGTTGCATATTGCTCTAATTTCTTTTCCTTTCTATCCAGCTGTTATACATATGTTATCGTTCATTTTCTTTTCTTCTCTGTTCAGCTGTTATAGATATGTTCTTGTTCTGTTGTTTTCTTTCCTATCCAACTGTTCCATATATTCTTGTTCGTTTGACCTACTTTTTCTAACAGACGTCTTCTCTGAATAAGAAGAATCATTGTTTTAATTCTTCTTATTGTTCATTATCTAAAACAAAGGCGAAGAAGCTTCTCCATTGTTTCTCCAGGTCATTTATTTATCTCTCCCTGTATAAATGCTCCCTCTTCTTCCAATAAAGAACAGTTAAACATTCGTTCATTCATCGTGTCGTATATTTAACTTCCTCTTCTTTGATTTTATAAATATAATGCCAAGAAATTTAATAAACTTTAATACAGACTGGCTTCATCGAGCTGATTCCAACAACGATTCGGTAAACATATGGCTGAAAAAGGGCTCCACACCTACAACTTTCAAGTGCAGTTTATGTCAAACAGGTGATCTAAGTTGTGGTAATCAAGGTTGGAAAGCAATAGAACAACATATGAATATTAATAAACATAAAGAAATATTACGTCAATGGAAACAGAATGCCAAATTTCGTGTGGCAAATCAAACACGATCAGATCCAGCTGATTCATTTACATCCACCTCTATTGGTATTCCAATATTAGATACAAATACAAACAAAAATAAACCTTTAACATTAGATGATCAAGTAACAAAAGCTGAAATTCTATGGTCGTTAAAAGTTGCTCGAAAAGGTCTAAGTTATAACTTATGTGATGAATTAAATGAATTGTTTTCATCAATGTTTTCTGATTCTTCAATTGCCGAAAACTTTAGTATTCAATCTGATAAAATGTCTTATGTTATATCACACGGATTGGGTCCTTATTTCAAGAAAAAAAATAATCGAAGATGTTAAAAAAGTTGATAAATTTGTTCTTATATTTGATGAACAAACGAACAATCAAAATAAAAAACAATTAGATATGTTGTTAAGATATTGGTCTAATGAAAAACAATGTGTTGTTAATCGATTTTATAAATCAGTTCTATTAGGTCATGCTTATGCAAAAACAATTCGTGATATAATTATTGAATCATTTGCTACTGATGGATTAAATATAAATAAACTTTTAATGTTAGGAAGAGATAATCCCAATATTAATATTTCACTTTAAAATTTAATTGATGTGGAAATGAAAAAACAAGGTGGTTGTTTATTAAAGATTGGAAGCTGTAACATTCACATCATACACAATGCTTTTAAAAATGGTATTCTGTCTTCTAAGTGGTATGTAGACAGTTTTTGTTTGGATCTTTATTTTTGGTTTAAATGTTCTTCAGCAAGACAAGAAGATTATAAAAATGTTAGTGAAGATATTGATTCTGTTATAGAAAAAGCAATTCTATATTTTTTAATTACAAGATGGGTTTTATTAGGCAAAGTTATTGATCGAATTTTAAGTATGTTGATTTTTTTTCCCTTTTCTACATTTTTCATTTTATTTAGATCAATGGGATATTTTATGTGATTATTTTCTTTGTTTTTTGCCTGAAAAACCACCCGTACAAATTCGAGAAAACAAACGTTATGAAAGCATCAAATTAGTCTTATCATCAAATTTCTCGAAGGTCAAATTCAACTTTGTGTTATATTTATGTGAAAATATTTTTGATCGTTTTTTGACCTTCTTCCAACGTGAAGAACCATTGATCCATTTATTATATTGTGAAATTAATGATTTATATCGAAATGTTCTATTATCATTCTTGAAATCTGATTCTGTTCAACAAAAATTTGGGTGTGGGTGTGGGTGTGGGTGTGGGTGTGGGTGTGGGTGTGGGTGTGGGTGTGGGTGTGGGTGTTAGTGATGGAACAATGTGCACCATCGGGCATACGCATACTCATTCACATCTACACCCACACCCACCCACACCCACA